CTTAATTGGTGGGCGTGGCTTGGTGGTCATGTGACTGGCTGGACATGGCTTGGTGGGCATGTTATTGGCTGGCATGGCCAACTCAATATCACTCACATTGAGGCACCATTTCGCCTGGCTCTCATGACTATGGGATGCTGCAACAGTATGAAAAACACTCAAGTCACTTTTTTCAGTGCCATTGTAACTTTGAATGGTCACTCCACACAAGCAATGTACCAGCAAAGGAGGGGAAAAACCCCCAGAGAAGTTCCTGAGACAGGAAGTCTAGTCCTGCCAAGAATGTAATAAGGGTTAACGGAGAGGCAGTTTCCATAAGCAACACCAGAATGTTTCCTTCTGCCTTCCTTACAGGATTAGGCCAGTAATTTCTTCTAACAACCGGTTCTCTGAACTGCTTAGAATATTAACCGGTTCTAGCGAACAGGTGCGAACTGGTAGAATCCCACCCCTGAAGTATCCCTCCCTGACTCCATTACCACAGTAAGAGACTATCATGTTTACAGATCAGATTGTGAAATCCATAGAGGAGGTGGTGGTGGTGTTATCTTCTATAAAAAGTCCCTACATCTAAAAAACATCCAAGTTACCCAGGAGTTTGCTATTCCTGAGACCATCATCTGTGAACTGTCCTTAAATATCACATTTCGGTTCTTACTATGTTACAGAGCCCCTGATTATGACATCGAACATGCAAACAACCTAAATAAACTACTAAGATGGGCAGCATCCTTCCCACACACTTTTATCTTTCTTGGTGACTTCAATCTACCTCATATTAACTGGACCCTTAATGAATGTACAACTGAACCCACACATGCAACCTTCTACAATGCAGTAACAAATCTAGGACTAGAACAACTAGTAACCAACAACACTAGACTTAACAACTGCCTCGATCTCATCTGCAATAGTTTGAATTCAATTTACGGAATACAAATTAAAGAACTCTTTTCAAACAGTGACCACAACATGATTGACTTTTGTCTCAACATACATCCACACAAAAATCATCACAATGACTGAATCCCGAATTATAATTTCAAAAAAGGCAACTATGATCTTATAAACAATGACCTCTCATCCCTTGATTGCCAGTTTCTATTCTCTGGATGCAATACTGTAGAAGACCATTACAACATATTTTTACTTGAAGTCAAAAGAGTCATCAAATTATATGTACCATTAACAACTCCCAAAACCAGAAAAAACAAATTACCCAAAACAATAAGGAAGCTTCAATCCAAAAAGAAATCACTTTGGTGGAAAAACAAATCTGGTCACATTGCCAACTTCAAAAGCCGATACAAAAATTTATGCCACCAGATAAAAACTGAATGCACCAATTATCATATTAAACAAGAAGAAAACCTTCTACACACTGATTCCACCTGCGCTTTCTACAAATTTGTAAACAAACTAAAAGACTCAAGGTCTATCCCACCCCTGAAAGGACCTAATGGTAAAGACTGCAATGATGACACTGTTAAAGCCAACCTCTTTAACACATTCTTTGGCTCAGTATTTGTAAACAGCAATAGATCATGCCCAGTATTTCCTAGTCGAACCACAGAGAACTACAATGATCTAATACATATCGATTTTATAGAAGACAATGTTGAAAAAGCACTACGCAATCTAAAACCATCCCTATCTATTGGACTGGATGGAATATGTGCCTACTTCTTAAAAAAGGTATCCACCGCCATAGCTGAACCTCTAAGCATAATCTTTGAAAAATATTTCAGGACCAGCTCCTTGCCAAAACTATGGTCACAAGCCACGGTCATGCCCATCTTCAAAAAGGGAGACCCCAGCCTAGTTGAAAATTACAGACCAATCTCTTTATGCTGCATCACCTGTAAAGTCATGGAATCAATTATTAACCAATCCATCATCCTCCACTTAGAAACAAACAACCTACTCTCTAATAAACAATTTGGTTTTAGGAAAAAAACTATCATGTAATCTGCAACTCTTACAGTGCAAAAACATATGGACTACACAACTCAATCATGGCAAAGCAATAGATGCAATCTACATAAACTTCTGTAAAGCCTTTGATTCAGTGGTACACGACAAACTACTCCTAAAACTAAAATCTTACGGTGTCTCTGGACAACTGCATAACTGGATAGAAACATTCCTGTCAAACAGACAACAAATGGTCAAAATTGGGAGTGTCCTATCAAATTCTGTACCTGTCAACAGTGGTGTCCCCAAAGGCAGTGTTCTAGGACCAACTCTTTTCATACTCTACATAAATGACCTCTGTGATCATATCAAGAGCAACTGCGTTCTCTTCGCTGATGATGTAAAGCTATTCAACACCACGGACAATACTGCTACCCTTCAAAAAGACCTTGACCATGTATCAGAATGGCAAACAAATGGCAACTTCAAATCTCAACAAATAAATGCTCTGTCCTATATATTGGCAAAAAAAAATAATCAGAAAATAAAATACAGGCTGAATAGTCAAGACCTTGTTGATGATCCAAACTCTGTCAAGGATCTTGGAGTACTCATCTCAAATGACCTAAGTGCTAGAGCCCACTGTAACTACATAGCCAAAAAGGCGTTAAAAGTTGTTAACCTAATCTTACGTAGCTTTTTCTCTGGTAATATTATACTGATAACTAGAGCATACAAAACATTTGCTAGACCAATACTTGAATACACCTCATCAGTCTGGAACCCACATTATGTATCTGATATTAACACAGTTGAGAAAGTCCAGAAATATTTCACAAGAAGAGTTCTCCACTCCTCTACTTGTTGCAGAATACCTTATGCCACCAGACTCAAAATTCTAGACCTAGAAAACCTAGAACTACGTCGCCTTCGGTCTGATCTAAGTATAGTATATAAAATCATACATTGCAATGTCCTACCTGTCAATGAACACTTCAGCTTCAGCCATAACAACATAAGGGTAAACAATAGATACAAACTCAAGGTTAATCGCACCATACTTGATTGCAGGAAATACGACTTCAGCAACAGAGTGGTCAATGTCTGGAACCTGACTGTGGTTTTTTCCCCAAAAAACTTTAACCTTAGACTGTCTACTATTGACCTCACCCCTTTCCTAAGAGGTCTGTAGGGGGCGTGCATAAACGCACCAATGTCTGTACCGTCCCTGTCCTGTTGTTTCTTTTATATATTTTTTTATTTTTCTTATATGTATACATGTATTCATAACTATGTTTTTACTTATACCTATTATCTTGTAAGCAATTGACAAATAAAAATAAATAAAAATAAAGTAGGCCAATAATGTCATTGTTGCATTATTCAAATTTGCCCTGTACTTTTAAGGAAAACAGGACAATTGATTCTAGCTTAATAGAAACTGGAAATGAAAACTTTTTAAGAAAAAAAAAATGTGTGTCTTATTGAAATATCATAGTAAAAAGTTTAAAAAATAGTAGGTAATGCCCAAAATGGTAGTAAGATTGTTACCGGCAACTTTCAGTGACTTTTAAGTGGTTTAGAATTTTTTTGTTGCTTTCTAATGGATGAAAACTTACCATGAATTCCTTACAAAAGATTTCATAAATATTTAAAATAAATCAAGTGAACAGAGGAGAAGCTAGAAGAGAAAGCCGTACGCAAAATATACCTGATGTCCTATATCAGTGGTGGCTAACCTTTTTGGGCTCCAGTGCCGATAATTGCACACGCGCTTGTTTAACCCAGAAGGCAATGCATGTGCCCCCCCCCATGCCCACATGACCTGCGTGATTTCGCTGTGCACTTCTGTGCATGCATGCGTGTCTCCTGTGAGCTAGATACCCAACAATCTGCAGTAGACCTTTTCTGGGCGAGGGCTCACAGCCGGTAGTAATGGCGCTCCTGGCACACATGTCATAGGTTCATCACCATGGTTCTATATTCAGTTTAGTTCTTTAAAATGAGCCTCTTTTTTTTGGGGGGGGGGTGCTTTTGTCAAATGGAAAGTTTTCTCCATTTTGCATCGCAACAATCATCTAAAACCCCAACAGCAACTATGCATGCAGTAGACCGCACTTGGACATTTTACAACCCACAGACCACATCTGGCCTTTTGGCTGTCCCTCTGCAGCCCATGGTGACAGCCCTCCATAACAATCCCAGTTTCTTATGTGGCCCTTGAGAAAATTAATCGCCTTACAGCGCGCTAGACTCGACTAGCATCACATTAACTACAAATTGTTATCAATGTTATCAATTTATAATTTGCATTAGCTTAAATTGAAAGGCGCACTATTTGAATTTGTTATAGGTAGTCCTCATTTCGCAACCACAGTAGAGACTGGCATTTTGTTAAGTGAAACAGTGATTGCTTTCCTTCCTGCTTTACAGACCTGGGAAGCTCATTAATGTGAGGGTTGGTTGTAAAGTTACCTTTTCATTACCATCATAGCTGTTAATGGTCACTAAACAAGGACTGTATGTGTGTGTGTGTGTGTGTGTGTATGTATATATGTGTGTATATATATATATATCTCCAATGATGACATAGTCAGAATGACGTTTTCCCTTTAGTCATAAAAATCATGAGAATAAGTTGAGAGGCACCAGTAGTAGAGACAAAGTTTTTATACTGTTGCCTGATCATAAGTTGTTCTGGAAGAATGTAAAATCCCTTTCCTTTGGGTAACAACAAAGTTGTTCAGGCAGGTATCACAATGGAACTTCATCTTTATATTTCCTGCCCACTCTGCATCTTTTGACAGCAGATTTAAAACAAACAGGACTTTCCAACACAGAGGAAACATTCTGATTGCAATATTCATTATATTGGTAAATAATCACAGTTAAATACAATTCTGGTTTTTTCTTTTTTTTAAATGAAACAATAAACACTTCTTAGTATGTGTTTAAGTTCTGCAAAGTTTTATGTCAAGCTGTACACTTAGCTGCAAATGTGTTTTAATTGCCAATTCATACTTTATTTCTCCAATTTATATTTAAAAATAGTGCATCAAATGGACTCCCAATATTTTTTCTCAATGCTAAGTCCACAAATTCTTACACTAATTAAATACACAATTAAGTATAAAACTAAGTGTGATACTCCTAACATTGACAAAATACATACAAAAAAATGTGTCAAAAGCAGGTAATATATTTTGCACACAAAGACTAAGTATTGCTATACAGTATCCAAAGAACCAAAGTGACATTTGCAATTACCGTTAAAAAGAGCTGCTCTGGGAAGAGTTGTAATTTGAAATAAAGTTTGAAAAAAAAGTTTTTACAGACAATGATACTAAGTTATTTGTAACTCTGCACCTAGATTGATAAACTTTGGACAGGAAAACATGTATATCAAGCATTCTTTTTTAAAAAGTTACTTTTATGACAATCATTCAAAAAGTAGCAGTTGTCAGCTTCTGAAGAATTCAGACTGAGTGTGTTGTCCACAATTCCGTTTTTTGTTTTCTTTCCTAAGCAACGAACATTCTTGCAGACTATTTCCCCTGTATTGTGCCTACAGCATCCTTCCATAAGTCACACGTGTTGGCCTTCAGTTGTACAGCACTAGTGCCTGGATAGGAAAAAACACAAAACTACATTTACTCCACATACAAATGGTGTCATCCATAGAAAAACTACAGCTTTGAATTACTATGGGTTCTGATTTTAGCTAATCCCGTGTCTCAGAAGAACTGAGCCACTTTAAATCTTACCTGAAATTCAAATGTTCTAATAGCACATACCCATCTAGGAAAGATAAAATAAAATACATTACTAGAGGATGAGCTTTGTTAGAAATTTTAGTCACAGAGTTACAAATAAACCTTTCCAAGATATAATCAAAAATATTCAAGTGCAAAAACTACGTATAGTTCTTTATATCCTACATTTGTATCATACTAGGATGGCCAAACTGCAACCCACCCCCCCACCCCCCCAAAAAAAACAGTTTTTCTGATTTCTGACCCCACCCTCAGTGCTTGGTTTAGTTATTATGCTCATCTCTTCTGTTTTATTCCTTTTGAAACCTTACATTTGCCTTCAGAATTCCGACATATCAGTTGATTTCCCTCAGTGATGTCTATAACTTCAAGCTGTTCTCCAGGCAAGATCCTCAAGTCCAGGTTTCCTCTGATAGGAGTATTTGAGCAATGTGCAACTGCCGTATTTATTACTGTGATTTCTTTATTATACTGTGGCAGAGTAAAGGGGGAAAGAAATCAAGCTACAGTTTACATAAACTTAATCGAAAGCTTATTACAGATACAGTTTTGGATAGGATACACTGAGGATGCCAAAGATTTTAAACATTTGCATATAGGTAGTCCTTGAGTTACAATCATAACTGAGTTAAAATTTCTGTTGCTAAGTTGTTAAGTAAGTTTTGCTCCATTTTGCAACCTTTCTCGCCACGCTTGTTAAGTGAATCACTGCAACTGTTAACTGCAATTATTAACATGGTTATTAAGTAAATCTGGTTTCCCCACTGACTTTGCTTGTCAGAAGGTAGCAAAAGGGGATCACATGAACTCAGGACACTGCAACCATCATAAATATGAGCCAACTGCCAAGCACCTTGATTTTGGTCACGTGACCATGGACCAATTACTAAGCACCTGGATTTTGGTCACGTGACCATGGACCAATTACTAAGCACCTGGATTTTGGTCACGTGACCATTTTGCAACAGTCATAACTGTGCAAAATAGTGACAAGTCACTTTTTTTCCTATGCCGTTGTAACTTTGAATGATCACTAAATGAATGTTTGTAAGTCAGGGACTCCCTATAGTTTGTTTTTAAATATACATTAAGCATACTTTTTACTGCCCTCAAAAGTTCCGATTTCAAAAGTGGTTTGACATGCAGGTAGGCCTTGGGTTATGACCATTCAATGACCATTCAAAGTTAGGACAGCACTGAATGAATAGTAGCTCTGATCATCCTCAGAGTTGTATTCTTGTTTCACGTTTTCCAGTCCTGAATAAACTCTCTGCTTCAACTTCCCCCACTGCCTATCTCCATCCCTCATCTCTGCCATTTTGGATGCCCTGCACTCCACCAGCTATTTCTGCTGCTCTCTGCTGCTACCACCCCAACTGTTCCACCCTCAGGAGTTTTTAGCTATCTTCTTCTTCCCATTGCATGCCCAAGGTCTGGGCAACCCTGGGGTATGGATGGCAAGCATAGAAGGCCAAAATTATCTTCTACCACAGGTCCAAGCAGTTGAAAGCACAGCAGGAAGGACAAGTGAGGTGGCACACCTGTTCTTGGGTGAAATTTTCCCAGAAAATATATACTTTGTGGTAAGTAGTGATCAATCGAAAACAGTTTGCATTATTAGAAGTAAGAGGAAGGTATATAAAGTTCGTTCATTTGATCAAGGTTAAAATAGATATTATATTGTCCTGGTAACCCTTAATGGACTCTTGCTGACATCAGGACTGAAATGAATAGGTATTTATGGATTTGTTTATAGATAAGAGATAAGATATGGGATGGAGATTATTTGCTGTATTTTAACTGAAGGTGATACGTTATTAAAATTGTTGATATTTTATATATTTCTTTTCTTTTTCTTTATTGTATTTTTATTTTTCTCCTCTTTTCTATGCATTTTACTTTTTATTGTATATTTTAGTTTGTATTTGTTTTTAATATTGTAATTACAATCTTTAATAAAATTACTATATTAAAAAGTATATATATACTTTGCAACAACAGATTTTTCTCTCAAAACAAGGTCCAGAATTCTTGGTTACCACTAAGAATTTATGCATATTTCTAATGACAATATAATGTAATGAGAATCGTTTTCTGGAATGTTGCTATTCATAGTTCTGTATCGTGACAAGAGATGACAAATTGCACAGCATATTTTCATATATCATATACACAACAGTAACCATGCCAACATCTTCCAAGCTATTTAAAAGAAGAAGAAACTTACCATAAATCTCTCTCTAAACGATTGTTCCTCCTTTGTCATCTTGTTATTTTTTTCTACAATGTATTTCTTGATTTTAAAGGGATTTCTAAGAAAGACACATGTACAGAATTAATCTAACAAATGAACATATGAGAACCATGGAGGGTGGGACCAGGATTTTTCAGAGTGGCATTGCCAAAACTGCATCAGAGACCAGGTGCCCTTATCTGGAAAAATCTTCAAATGACCTTGAAGCCAGGTAACTAACCTTTTTTCTGCCTAACAGTAAACTGAACAAACCAGCTGTGTGTTTTGAACTGTGCACATTTGCCAATAAGAAGACAGAACTTCTCCAAAAATGTTAGCTTCCGGGACTACGTCAATTTTTTCTTTGCTAAACTCTACAGTAAATTGAACTATGCTTTGGTTACTTCAGATCAGCCTAATTTAGACTTGATGTCACATAAATCTTCCAGCTTTGTATTGTTAAAGATGTAAAATCTCAACTTGAAAGATGTGACAGTGGAAAATTTCTGTTGAATAGCATTAAATGTTGTGTACCAATGTTTAATATTCTGCTTCTTCCATAAATAATACAAATGTAAATAATATATTTTTAGAAATTCCCATTCCTTCAAGAATAAATGCATCCAATATTCTTCCTTTATCTTTCTGCATGATTATTGTTTGCTTTTTCTCTCTCTACCTTTCAACAGCAACAAAAAAAATGTAAATATCCATCTTTATGACAAATATTCTCTCTTGAAAAAAGGAGAGGGGGAGAGAGAACACAGTTTTCTAATGTCAGGGATGTCAGAAAATGCTGAAGTTCCAGAGAGACAATGAGTACCAGCACGATCAACTAAGATACCACATAACAGGCCTCATTTCATGCACCACTGAATCACAAAACCATTTTCAAATAGGAATCATGTAGTTACAGTACCACCCAGACCTGTAGTTCAATAGGTGGCAAGCAGAGCACCAAGCAGCTATCATCCAGCCGGAAAGTTACAAGGGATTTTGTTTTAATGCAGAAGAAAAAAGCAAAAAAGCTGATGCTAGAATTAAAAGGCTATTTGATTTTCAAGCAGCCTTTGACTCCACAGCATTCCATTCCTCACAAAAATGCATTTAATACTCAATTATTCTCATGCTGCTGAAGAACTGGTTCAGTTTTATTATCAGGGCTGACGTATATCACCTGCAGAGACACTCAGCCATAATGCCTACCAAAAAACAACGTGACTCTTTGCACTCAGTTCCATATTGTTAACCAGAGAGCTTAGCTGAAATTTTATGTATAACTGAAGAATCTCAAGATCAAACTAGGGTGGAGGAAAATACAGAATTTAACAGAGGTGGCATTCAGCAGGTTCTAACCAGTTCTGTAGAACCAGTTGCAGAAATTTTGAGTAGTTTGGAATACCACCCATCGATTCTTTGCCTCCTGAGTCCCAGCTGATCAGCTGGGTCTTTTTTCGTTGCCCTGCACAGGAGAATGGAGCTGGAAAGCAGGTTAGTGGGGTGGGGAGAGAATAGGGATCTTTCCCTGGAGTTGGGTGGGAATGGGGATTTTACAGTATCCTTCCCCTGCCACACTCACCAAGCCATGCCCACAGAACTGATAATAAAAGAATTTGAATCCCACCACTGGAATTTAAGACATTTTAATTCTATAATGGAAGACAGATGGAAAAGTGATCTTCACAATGCCTGAGAAACATTTATCGTGTGGCACTGAAAACTCTGCTTCTTCTGGCTATACAAAGTTGCTCATTTTGTATCGGGAACAATTCATGCTATCCAGAAAGTTTAAAATATTTCAGTTCATAAAGTTGCTGGAAGCTTACACAAAGCCTTTACAGACAAAAGAATTAAGGGATTAAAAAATAGTAATTCCTTAATTAAGCCAATTTTAATCAAAGTAGATTTAGGCATCAGTTTCTTGGTGTGATCTATGGGATCTTGTATGGATAATAATCAGGATTGGAAGAATGGTATGTAAGCTGCCTTGACCTCATGGAAGAAAGATGGGATACAATTTTGTGAATAAATGAATAAAATAAGTTCCCCCCAAAATGTCCCAGATATGCATCAGAGTTTTTGAAAATAAATTCCAAGGCAAAAAAGATCTGTCTTAATATTTCTATATTAGCCTTAATAGCATTGACATTTTTGAACCTTGGTGTTGGAGAAGACTCCACCGAATACCATGGATAGCCAAGAACATGAGCAAATCAAGCCAGAGTTTTCATTAGAGACATAAGTGACCAAGCTCAAATTATTTTATTTTGAATATATTACACAAAGATCCAGCTCTCTGAAGAAGGCTCTAATGCTAGAAAGGGTAGAAAGAAAGAAAAGGGGATGACTATCAGGAAGCTGGATGGATTCAGTTTCAGTGGTTAATAGGTGTGCTGCTAGAAAACCTGAAGGACCAAGTTAGGGATAGATCATCATGCAGACCAGAAGTCTCCAAACTTGGCAAGTTTAAACTTGGCCAGTCAGCTGGCTAGAGAATTCTGGGAGTTGATGTCCACAAGTCTTAAACTTGCCAAGTTTGGAGACCTCTGATGTAGACAATCCATCTACCTGGTCACTATGAGCCAGTTCTAAAAGCACATAATCAATTAATTAACCTTATTATTGCATTTTATATTATTGTAGCCAGTGAGGTCATCATACATTTTAAGGATACTGCTGTAATTTTATAGATTTGAAGGAAGTTTTATTGGCATGAGAAATGTTAGATAGGAAAGAAAAATATATTCACGACTATTTTACCTACCTTGTATCATTTTGTTCTGGGTCAATGTCATTATACACGAAGTTTTCCTGGGCCATGACATCTGCAACTAAAATCAGAGAGTGTGATTAACTATTTACACTTTCCCAGAATTAAGAAAGAGAAACATCTAAAATCTTATTGTCTGCCAAATGCAACATGAAAGGAGAAACAAATGGAGTGACAGTAGGAAATAAGCAAACTTAATCACCAACTTCTAAAAAATTACAGTGCACCCCAGAAAATGAATGGCTTTTGAATTCATAAAGTGAGCAAGGCTACTTTTGAAACCCCAAGTGACTTCCTTGTAAAAGGAGACTGTCACAATGATCATTTGTCTCTTTAAGAATTTCCCACTCTAGAAGTTGCTTCCTAAAGGACTAATGGCTATGTAATAAGTGTTAAAATAACTAAGAATGTTGTAACATCTGAAAAGATCTAACTTGTCTGCAGCAGCTCTATAAATTCAGTGTGTAAAAGAATAATCATAGCATCAATTTACTCTTAAAGGCTGAATCTGTAGCATTAGAGATTAGCAATGGCAGACCTGCTAAAAATCCTTCTTGGCTAGACTCCATCATAAAAAAAAATGATCTGTTAGAAATGAGAAGCAGAGTTTTAAACAGGCACTATATTTTCTGTTTACAATTACAAAATAAAAAGAGGGGTGCCTATTCCAAAGAATCTCACACATGCGGACAGGACCAAAACTGTTATTTCAAAAGAGAGTCAGTTTATCTATTCGACATGCAAGCTTACCTAGGTTTGGTACAGAACGGGAAAGATTGCTGCAGAAGACAAATAAAACAAATGTGCATTTCAGCATGGGTTATAAATAACATTTGGCTGCACATCTGCAGTTAAGGTTTTCAAACAGGACTTCAGGTGCACCAACTTCTATACTCACCATCACACTTGCGTGACTCTTAATTTTGAAGATTATATCATCGTCGTTGTCATCTTTAAATGACCCCATAATCCCTTGCAGGGTGGAGTCTTGGCAACTGAAGGGAGCTGTGTGTTTACTGGCTGGATGCCCTTCCCATAGCCTATGCGGAGTTATATTCAGCAGATACAATCTCAAAGTACCCAGAGAGAGAAATATCTGCCTCTACCTAGGATCAAACTCACAGCCTCCTGAATGTGAGGCGAGAGCTCCGCTCTAGGCCACCGCACCACTTCATTTTAAAGATTATATGACTGAATAAAAAAGCCATAGTTGGAAAAAAAAACATTGGATTGAGAAATATTTGAACTTCACAGTATTTTTGTTATCAACTCCTGAAAGCAGCACATTTACATATCCAAAATGCATTACATTTTTTGGAGCCTAGAAAAGAGTTATGGTTTCAACTGAGGTTTCTTCATAAAAATTAGGGAAATGTTCAACCCGAGAGCATTTTCACAGATCTCAAGACTAATGTAAGGTACTTGATGACAGAACAACCTAGGGTCCCGAAAGCAGCTTAAAATTTCCTGGACAAGCACTCAGTATTAATGGAAAACTTGGCCTCCAGGACTTACTACACTTTACTAAAAAATAAACCAAGAGAAGTAAAGTTAAACAATGCAGTTCAAATCCCTTGCGTATAAATATGGTCAATTTCTTCTTCCAGCATCCCAAACTGCATGGAGATAAGCAGAAAGCTAAAAGCTAAATCTTACCACAAAGTGTCACACTTATTTGTGCTAAACCCAGAACAAAAAACGCAGTCAATCAACCCTCAGGACCCATATTTCTATTTTGAGAGGTGAAGTATTTGTTCAATCAATCAGAGAAGAGCTGGAATGGATCTTGGAGTTTGACCCTATACCATTTCAGACAAGTGACTGTCCAGTCTGTTCTTAAAAACCTCCAGTGGTGAAGCACCCACAACTTCTGAAGGCAAGCTCTTCCATTGGTTAATTGTTCTCACTATTTCAAAGTTTCTCCTTAATTCTAGGTTGCTTCTCTCCTTGATTAGTTTCCATTCATTGTTTCTTGTCCTGACCTCTGATGCTTTGAAAAATAAGTTATTTTTCCCCTCCTTTTTGTGGAAACCTCTCAAATGCCTACCAGCTACCATTTTCTCCTTCAACTTCCTCCTCATTAATGCTCCTCATTCACTAACATTTCTGCCCTTCCCACTCAGTCTGGGTTAAGATGGAAGGGAAAGGCCTTGCCATTCTGTAAATGTATCTAAAGCTTTTGCATTGCTATTCCAATCCCATTTATATTTAAATGACATACATGGTATTATTGAACTAGTAATTAAGAAGTTGTAACCTTCACAGTGCTGTGATTTGTATTGCAGTAACCCAGCACTTCAAAGGTTCATCAGCCACTATAGTGACACCACAGGAATACAATCAAGGACTGGCACTTTAAATTAATCAGCAGATGCCTTTTATGGATGATGATGATGATGATGATGATGATGATGATGATGATGATGAGTTCTTCATGTTCTCTGAGATTGTTTTACTGCAGATGTTTCATTATCAGGCTAGGTAAGATCATCAGTGCAAAGGGGGTTGAAGTTTGCTGGTTGTTTATTGCATATAGAATAGCTTCCCCTGCCAATCTTGCTTGCAATGTGACTTCTTGCTTGACTTAATTAGGGACATACTGTATATTCTCTACATACCATATACAGGTAGCCCTCATCTTACAACAGTTCATTTAGTGACCGTTCAAGGTTTAAAAATCACTGAAAAATGTGACTTATGATTGTTTTTCAGTTATCCCCGTGATCATGTGATCAAAATTCAGGTGTTTGGCAACAGGTTCATACTTATGACTGCTGCTGTGTCCCAAGGTCATGTGATTCTCCCTTTGTGACCTTCTGAGAAGTAAGATTGTAAAATGGGACAAAATTCACTTAACAACTGTCTCTCTTAGCCACAGAAATTTTGGGCTCAATTATGGTCATTAGTTAGTGGACTACTTATACTATTGGCATAATACATTACATACCGAGAACTCTCTTTCATGTGTGTGCTTTTTATTTTGAATTTTCCTTTGAAAAATTTTCCAAATCCTTTGAGTTTTTCAATTTTGATATCCCTAGAACAAAAAGAGAGAGAGAAAGAGAGAAATTAACAAATAACAAAGTGAAGGTACTATAGATAAACATTTTATACATTGTCTTTCTTTATGAACATAAAGTTGGGAAAAGACAATAAGAGGTCACAACATGCCTCTGATTTGTGACCTCTGGCACCAGCATGTAATTGCTCTGTTTCTAGAATTTCTTTACAAAAACATTAGAGAAACAAATGGTGTATAAATCTAAAGGTGGAGCCAGTGTTCAGAGGCAGACTGTGCCGCGGCCCCTTAAAAGAGTTCATGCTAGCATACAGCAAAGACCATTTCAACAGCTCCCTTGTGCTTCAGCAGCTGGTTAACCCTGAAAAAAAACCCACATATGTCAAAGCAGAAGGCAGACTGCTACCAAGTTAATTCTTCCCAAGGCATCGACAACCATGCTCCGTGTGGCATAAAAACAACTCAGAAGAAGCTCAGAACTCAGAAATATCACATTGCTAACTAGAGCATGCAAAACTTTTGCTAGACCAATACTCGAATACAGCTCTTCAGTCTGGAATCCCCACTGTTTATCGGACAGTAATACAATTGAGCAAGTCCAGAAGTATTTCACTAGAAGAGTACTACACTCCTCTGCTCGCAACAGAATACCCTATATCAGTGGTCGCCAACTGGTGGGCCGCGGCCCACTGGTGGGCTGTGAGAAAATTTTGGTAGGCCACAGAGAAATCTCACCCCAAAAGCAATTAATCCAGGCTGTGCAGAAACACAAGGCTGCTCAGCCCACATGGCCTGCGGGAACCCTCCCCGCCCACTCACTCCTTACCCAGCAAACTTGTCTGCTAAGTTGCTATTTTTCCTTTTTCCGACCATCATCTGTTCTGCTGTGCTGGGAGATTTAGATTAGCTAGGAAGCAGGAAATGGTTGGATTTCTTGCTTTCTAGCTAAGCACAGCTGAACCTCCCTTAGGACTGAAGGATTGCTTGCAAGCAAATTCAGTGCAGACTCACAGCAAGCAAATTTGAGAGACTGAGCTAGCCGATGGCAGATAGATCACTCAATGATTCTGTGAGCAACTCAATCTGCCTGCTTTGCCTGATTCTGGGTAAAAGTTTCTCTTTTTTATAAAAAAATTCAATATTTATATAAATATTTATAAAATTGACATACAAGCCATGCCCAGCCAGTCACATGACCACCAAGCCACACCCACAAATTAGGCCATGCCCACAGAACTAGTTAGTGGTCCCTGGCATCTAAAATTATGAGTTTGGTGGTCTGAGGTCCAAAAGGTTGGCGACCCCTGCCCTATATCACCAGTTTTGAGATTTTGGGCTTGGACAACCTTGAACTATGCCAGCTATGGTTAGACTTAAGCGTAGCACACAAAAGTATCTGATACAATGTCCTACCAGTCAATGACTACTTCAGCTTCAACCACAACAATACAAGAGGACACAACAGATACAAACTCAATATAAACCACTTCAAACTCGATTGCAGAAAGTACGACTTCAGCAACAGAGTGGTCAAGGCCTGTAATGCATTACCTGACTCTGTAGTTACATCCTCTAACCCCCAAAACTTTAACCTCAAACTATCTACTATTGACCTCACCCCATTCCTAAGAGGTCTGTAAGGGGCGTGCATAAGTTCACAATTGTGCCTCCCATGCCTGTCCTATTGTCCCCATTTATTTGTATCTATTTCCTCATGTTTATACTTATACCTATTATCTTGTAAGCGATTGACAAATCAAATCAAATAAATAAAAAAATAAATAAAAGAAGCCTACTATATTCTAGCATTGTTACTCTGAGGAACACCCACCTTTTATAATTCCTGGAATGAATAATTCCTTTTCCAGAAATTCTGGGAGAGCAAGATGGGAGAAAAGATAAAGATTATTACTAAAAGCATCTATTTCTGATTTTGCTCTCAGGGTGGAAGTTAGTTCCGAGCTATGTTCAACTACTGGTGGTTAGATAAAGATATTGGGGTGGGGGCATGCGGGATTGGTAGTAGTGGAGAGGAGTCAATTCCAATTTATCCCAAGGGCACCACTATAGGGAAGGGTCATGCAGATTATTTCTGGTAATAGGGTACTCTATCTTAGGCTCTCAAAATTGGATTGAGGGCTTTCTGCTGGTTGAATACTGGTGGTCCGTGACTTACAACAGTTCATTTAGTGACTGTTCAAAGTTACCACAGCAGTGAAAAAGATGACTTATGACTATTTTTTCACACTTACAACCTTTGTAGAAGCCCCATGACCATGTAATCAAAATTCAGATGCTTGGCAACGGGTTCATACTTATGACCGCTGCTGTGTGCCAAGGTCCTGAGATCCCCTTTTTCAACCTTCTGACAAGCAAAGTCAATGGGAAAGACAGATTCACTTAACAACCAGGTTATGAACTGCAAGTGATTCACTTAACTTATGGCAAGAAAGGGCATAAAATAGGGGAAAACTCACTTAACAAGTGTTTCACTTAAGAGCAGAAATTTCAGACTCAATTGTGGCCGTAAGTAGAGCACTACTTGTATTCTGTAAGCAATTGGTCCAATGAATTGGCTGGGTATTAAGTCAGGAAATTTTGGCCTAGTCTGTTCCAATTGATATTCTAAAGTAGTACAGTTAATCCTCAACCCAACAGATAACAGATAATCAGAGCTGGAAGGGACCTTGTAGGTCATCTAGTCCAACCCGCCCACCCAAGCGGGAGACCCTACACCATTTCTGACAAATGGCAGTCCAATCTCTTCTTGAAAGTCTCAAGTGATGGCGCTCCCACAACTTCCTAGGGCAAGCTGTTCCATTGGTTGATTGTTCTCACTAGGGCACCTAGTACAAAAGTTCATTCAGTGACCATTTGAAGTTACAACGGCACTGAAAAAAGTGACTTATGACCGTTCTTCACATCTACGACCTTTGCAGCATCCCCATGGTCACGTGATCAAAATTCAGACTTTTGGCAATTGATTCGTATTTATGACGGTTGCAGTATCCCAGGATGAAGCGGTGCTCTTTTGTAACCTTCTGACAAGCCAAGTCAGTAGGGAAGCCCGATTCCCTTTCGTGTTAATAATTTAATAACTGCAGTGATTCAATTAACAAGTTGTAAAGAAAGGTCGTAACACGAGGCAAAACTCACTTAACAAACATCTCACTTAGCAACAGAAATGTTGGGCTCAATTGTGGTCATAAGTTGAGGACCACCTACAGGTTGGTTACTAAATGGTTACTATGGTTATTAAACATCAGGAGGAATTTTCTGACTATACAAGCTGCCTCTATAAAGAGGCTCCTGTATTAAGTGGTGAATTCTTACTTCGATCTTCAATTAGAGGCTCGATAGTAAACTATCAGAGATAATATAATAGATCCAATTCCAAGCAGGGAGTTGAATGGGATAACATCTAAGATTCCTTCCAACTATATGATTCTTAATATTTCCTATACTCCAAAAAGGGTCTGTAGTAACACAAATAAACATACTTGACCAAGAAGACAGCACTAAATGCAGCATTTTTAGTGTGCCTATAGGAAAAAGCACCAGCTTTCCCCTAAACTGTACAATATATAAAAATGCCAAAGTACTCAGTCATATAAAAGACTCAAAGTTCAGACAGCCAGTCAAAGACTACCTACTCACTCTGATTTGGAGGAATTATAACCTTCACTTGGAATGTCACTTTGAATATCTTCATATGTTTCTTCGTAGGTATCATCTGAAATATAAAGCAACAAAAAACCATATTTGTAGGTAAACCACCCGTTGCTGGTAATTTTAAAGTATAGTTAGATTTATTTATTTAGCATATGGCAAATACATGGGACTTATAGTGATTCAAATGTTAATGTCCAGTTAAAAATTAACAGTTTTGCTATATTTCCAAATGGTGTCTTTTCTAACTATACTTGGACATTAAGTACAGTTAGAAAAGACACCATTTGGAAATATAGCAAAAGTATTAACTTTTTCTATCATTAATAACCTAGCTAAACTCTTTTTGGAATATCCAAGAAGTAGTGCCTGAACAAATTTCAAGAGATTTTAAAATATGGAATATTATGAACTGGAGTATGAAAGAAAAGAAGCACATGTTTTCTATTCAAAAATACATTAAAAGAATATATTTTAAAATTCTACACTTTTGTAGCTTTTATTGCACCCTATAACTGTCTCAAATTGAGCCAGTCCTGTAGGAAAGGATGAGGTAGAGAAATCACACTAAATTTTAACTCCAAATAATTATTAATCTCTCTAACCATCCAATTATTTCATATTCTTATATAAATTAACTTCTGAGTTTTATTTTCTGTTACATTCATATTCTGCCTTTCTTCCAAGGGGCTCAACTTAGCCCAAATGTGGTCTTATTTTTACCTTTACAGCAATCAAATATTCTCAGTACTCAAATAGTACTCAAATATTCTGATTTGGTAAGTCAACTAACAACCATCAAATAAATCTCAAGACTGAGCAAGGAATTAGTTTGGAGATATGATTTATACATACACGCCCATTTTGTCATATGCTACTTAGAGTTTTCGGATTGGGGCCAGTTACCAATACTATTATACCAACCAACCAATAAGTACGATAAATTAAATGAGAGATGCATTCAAAACCATGACAGTTCCTGATGAGAAAGTTCACATAAATCAACATTAAAAATTCAGTGACCATAACTTCACTTATACCACGTGGAATGAAGACTATCATTTGAAAGTCAATGTATCACTAAGGGTGATTTTTTTTTAATTTGACAGAACAACATCAGCCTCCAGATATTTTAAATGAAGTGTCTTGAAAGAAGATTGTCAGTAAAAAGCATGACCTGCTTAGCCAAATGGCTTACCAAGAAATCTTGAGCCAGGTGCTATCAATCAGCCTAACCTAACAAAATGAGAATGAGTTGGAAGATACCCATATATCTTCCCTTTGATGCAAGGGAGAAAGAAATGAATAATATACTAAGGGAAAAACTGGAGGAAGCAACTAATCATCTCTCCATCACTGAGAAGAGCAAAGCTAGTTTAAGGAGCAAAGTGGAAAGTTCAGACTGAGAAATTACAGAGTATATTATTCAGGCTTTGAGGACTTTGAGGACTAACAACTTCAGGTAAATTGTTTTCTTAAGTTTTTACAGGTACTTACATGTATGGTATTCAGCTTTGTTTGGGTATTTTCCCATGTCATTGTAGTTGTGCTTTTAAAGTAGTAGCAATGTTTCAGCAGAATCTTATCTGCCATCATCAGGCTTCTGTATTGTGTTCGTCTGATGACTGTAAAACAACTGGAAAAGTCTGACTCACAGACGAACACAATACAGAAGCCTCATGATGGCAGATGAGATTCTGCCAAAACGTTGCTACAACTTTAAAAGCACAACTATAATGACGTGGGAAAATACCTGAACAAAGCTGAATACCATACACACACACACACACACACAGAAAAAGGGAGGAAAACGTGATTCCTAGAATAGTTTGCTGGGCTATGAAAAAGAATAGACAAACATGGGATCCCACTCAGTGGAACACAGTCAGAAAGTGACTTCCCAGAAGACCACTGGATAACAATTGAAAAATAAGAACATGTATATTAAATATAAAAGTACTATGGTCCTTCTACTTTTAGAAAATTCATCAGATGCCCATTGGCAAATCTACAGCTTGAACATGTTCACAAGTCAAAGAGAAATCCTCAATATGAATTATATAATCAGTATATCTGAAAAATAAGGCTTTGTTAGTGAATGTTATTTGATTTCCTTTACATTTATGCTGGCATTATAAAATGTAAAGTAAAAATTAAAACATTAATTTTTATATTTACATTTTTACTTTACAAACTTTTTTATAACTGAGAAGCGTGTAGCTCAAATATTGCAATTTCAATCACCGGTGAACTTGGTTTTCTTCTTGTAAATGTTTTGTTATCAATTTAGTGACCCTTCACCTAAGAGAAAACCAAACTTACCAAACACTAAGATTCTGGTTAAAAAATATAAAAGTAAAATGAAAAAGTATCCCAAACAAACAGAAAGTTTAGATAAAACATAAGTTACACTCAGAACTGCATATGCTGCTAGATATGAAACACTGAAATAAATGTTTGCAGGTTTATGGCCAACTGGAGGGACACCTAAATCTAAAGTTCTACCCCTTGAATATTAAACTCCAAACTCTTCCAAAATTTGCCATGTATTATCCTTTTTCATGTGACAAAAGGGTGGCATTCTTAAACATGTGAGGTCTGACCATTTTTTGCTGAATTCGAACATATCTAAATTAAACTACTGGCCCCATTTACCTTTGAGAGTGTGGCCCGACATACTACTCAAAAGCTTTTAATATTTCTTTCCTAAAAGAATTTCAACCATGAAAAAATAAATAAATAAAGCCATAGGTTTTTTTTCCTTCTGTCTGGAGACACTCCAACTCTTTCCAATGGTTTGGGTAGTGCAAAGAATTCACTAGGAATCTGGAAGGTTTTTCAAGAGTTAAACCTACCTTTGCATGAGTTCTTTCAATAGTTGAATATTCAACCCCACTTTGTTCTATAAGAAGTGTTATTTTTATACTTACTGGAATGTAAAACAAATGATCTGTGGGCATCGGAGGATTGTCTGCAACACAACATTTAAACAAAGTAGTGTAAAAATACATTTGACATATTAAGAGTTCCAAAAAACTTACATGTACTTTCTAAACGTCTATAAAACACTTACAGGTCTCTCTCTATTCCTTCCACATCATCATACACTTCCTCTGCAGCTTGCTCCAATGTAGCAATTCTTATATCTGGGTTCCACTTCCTTTCATCCGTTCTTAAAGATTCCAGGCATACATAATCATCTGAAACTGGAGCAGAATTCTTGTTTCAAGCTCTCCTGAACATATACAAAAGAGTAAACCTGCCTAAATGCTGAAACCGCAACACACATTCTGAAGATCCAAGAAGAGAAAGCTATGAAAACTGCATCGGCTTTTCAATGCTTGTTTCTCCAAAATATACCATTAAGGAAGAAGCAGCCAACATTTTTTTGCCATGAGTGTCCCTCTACATTGTCCATGGACTTTAAAATTGCACTTACAGTCACAGAACCCAGTTGTTACAAAACAGGCTGGCTTGGGAATTCTGAGAATTGAAGTCCACACATCTTCAAGTTATTTAGGTTGAGAAACACCGCTATAAAATAATACAGTATCAAGTTTTTCCTAAAGACAAAAGCATATTCCACAAACATATGAAACAAATTACCATTACTATACACAAGTTCTTGCGATTGTCCCTCATCTCTCAACCTAGATGTACAAACATTAATTCTTCAATCCTTGGCAAGAAGTCAAGAGATACAAAGCCATCTGGTCAAGAGGTGTTAAGTATGTGGAGGTATAAAGGAATATGTGTCACTTAACTCAAGAATAAAGCAGCAGTAATATCAACATGCATTTACTCACAATCTCCATCCTTTGCCAATCCTTCTCCAGAGAAACACTGATTTGTTTCCTCTTGAGGCATGTTCTTCTCATTCCCTCTGATTTGGGGTTTCATGAATATAGTTCTGGGACTGCAAATCTGTTAGTACACATTACACTGCTTGGGTTAGAGCCCTTTCACGACATTCCTTGCTAAATTCATGATATAGCATAAAGCACCTCTTCTACAGTGGTGGGATTCAATTTTTTTGACTACCGATTCTGTGGGTGTGGCAGGGCAAAGGATACTGTAAAATCTCCAGTCAGAGGTGGTATTTGCCAGTTCTCCAAAAAAATTCTGCTACCGGTTCTCTAGAACTGGTCAGAACGTGCTGAATACCACCTCTGCTCTTCTACCATACAAATCAAAGTAGATTAAATAAAGTACTGAATTATTTCTGATCAGGCATCACACAGGCCCAAATCTGTTTAATTTGTCTCCATCTTTCATCTTTCTACATGTTTCATCATAAGAAAACATTCTCCAAGCTGAATTCTTACCAGTAAATTCTACAGAACGTTTAAGTAAATGGGAAATGCTTCTTTCTCAAGCCAAAACCAGGAGAAGACAATATTATATTAGGTTAGCAGAAAATTCTAATGGGGAAAGAAATCCCCCCCAACCATTTTACATATGCAATATAAGCAATTATTCCATTTTCTCAATTAAAAAAATCTCCTGTAACATCTGTGAGTAGAATGGGCAGCAGCCTGCAAGGTTTTCAGAAAAGATACATCACTTTTCCAAGATAGTTTGTGCACATATAATCCAATCAGAAAATCAACATTAAGAATTGCCCAATTGAAGATCATACTTTGAGGATACCCAATACTATAGATTAGCAATTTCAAGAGACTGAGACTAATAACAGAAGACCAATGAAATCCGTAAGCAATTCTCCACTAGAAGCTGTTTACCATTCAGAATATCGAACTGTTCCTTCTTCAAATATCATGTTCATTTTTGTGTGAACACACACGGTCAGAGTTACTATATAGCTGCATAATTTAATCCTTGTATTAAAAACTTTTAAAAAAATCCCAGCACATAGAATACTGGTACATAAATATTCCTGACTTAATATTTCTTCAACCTATTTGTAGCAAAACAAAGAGTGCTTTAGTTTTCACAGATTGCTCACAAAATAATAGTTTTGTTGACCTGGACATTGTTTTAAGGAATATCGTGGTCTGCATCTATGTTCCATGTCATTCTAGTGAAATGTGGCTAGAATCCAAAAGACACTACTCAAAGTTTCCAAAGCATGCAGAGAAACATACACAAGGAAATTTTCCTTCCTGACTTTAATCCTTAACACCAAATGGGTTGTCATTTCAAACATTAATTAACCTTCCAAAACAACCTTTGAAGCACAAAGAAAAGTAGGCTGACACAAAAGTTATGGGAGAAATAACCTGCATGAAAAATAACTCATTTTAATGTTTGGGTGCTCGCCAGATGCTTCAGTTTATGTTATACTCATATAGAACATTTGAAGAAAATAATTGGTTTACTAGGAAAATTGGTTGAGAATTGTCTTGTTTGTTCAACACACTTTCAGTTCTATCAACAAATTAAATTGAACATATTTAGATTGTGTTTATATTATATAATTTTGGTTATATAATTGTAACCTACAACGCAATGGATGAATGAAGCCAATAACATTAAATTATCATCACAATTGCTTGACTTTGGGATTAGGTTCATCCAATTTAAATAATGAAATTGTTATGTGGAAAAAGAGTCAGTAATTAGCTATAATTTGTAAAATATTACCTTGGGTGTATTATTCTCAATGTGACATAAATTTTTAGCATCACAAATAGTAATTTGTCCTGAGATTAAAAAAATAACCAATTCGAGAATGCTAAAATTTGATGCATTTCTATTTTAATATTAATTCTCTCCTATGTAGGTGCTAGCTATAAACACACAATAAACAATAAGTTAAGGGAAGCTTAAAGGTGGGCAATTAATGGCTCCTTTATGAGCTGTGGACTCCAACTCCCAGAATTCCTGAGTCATAAAAAGGGGTCATTAATTGCCCACCCCTGAACTAAAGGGATAGATAGATATTTCTATAGCAAGCCAAGTTTTGGTGTGCTGATCTGTTGTTCTCTTTTTCTTCTCTCACTCCAATTATTTCATCAAACTAGAAATTGAAAGCACATACCTTAGTATCTTCCTTTTTCAAAGACTTGAAAGCTAGAATCAAGGTTTTGTAGAAATTAGTACATTCTTCTCTGTAGTTTATTTCAGCTAATTTTATAAAACTGGTAACTACAATAAGCAGTTATAGATAGATTGCTATATAACTTAAATTTTCCATCTAGGCTCCTTTACATTACCAGTTAAACAAAATGAACCCAAACTAATATTTTTTGAAGATTAAAACTGCCAGATTCCATACCCTATTAACACAGTTAGAAGTAATCTGAATTCTATTCTAATCCAAATCTTAAAAATTATAAAAAGAGTTTTTAAAAATGAGTTTAAAGTTAAATAGTACAAAAAGAAAAAAAATCCAAAAAAGCTTGATAAATGCTTGAAACGTAACACAGAATAAAAAATCAAAAGTTACAGTGCACTGATGATTTCAGTTAGTATCTAAGTACACTGATATTACCAAATCAGGTAATGAAACATGTATTAGCAAACAACAAAATCCAAACAGCATGAAGAACTAAATAGTTCAACCCAAAGCTACATATATTCTTTTCTGTTGGATTTAAAATGTTAACCGTTGACTAATTTCTCACCTCCGCTACTTAAATTCTCATACTTCTGCCACAGTGCTAATCACCAAATTCCCTCATGTTTCAAGCTAATGAGCCTTGGGAGTAGCTGCACATCTAATGAACAATGTACACCCATATAGTCTGCATAAATGAAACAACAGTTAAAACTCACAATGTATAGGCCGTTGAACAAAATTAGGACAGTTCTCTTGCTGTTCCTGGTAGTATATGGTTTCTTCATAGGTGTTCAAATCTTCCAGTTCAGTACTGAAAATAAAGGAAGGGCCATATCATTACCCTTTTCTGAAAAAGAACTTAGAAAACAATGAAAGTATTTGGATATTTTTGATTCCTTGATCCCAGAGATATACAGTACATTGGTTGGAATCAGTCCTGTTTCTCTTCATCAATTGAAGTTTACAGATGGTTCTACTAGCCAAGAAATCTTGGGAGTGGTTTATACAATGTACTACTTTTCAATGTTGTATGGAAATATACTCATAAAAGTAATATAGCAACACAACAGGACCTCTAATGTTGTTGGATCAACTCTCTATAAGTTCTGCAACATTGAGAATCCCCCAAAAAGAACATGGAAAATAATATTCTACATTTTCAAGTATTTTTTTTGCAAGAATGAAAGTTGTCTATACTTTTGAGAGAGGATAGTGCTTATTAGGGCCATGTGTAAAACCACTTCAGAAATTCAGTTGAAAGCTAATTTGATCAAATGTAAAATCAACTTTTCCAAATCAGATAATTTGAATTAAACTGTCAAATCAAATCTCTCCAAAAGAAACCAAGCATCAATGGTCTTCTGTATATGAAAACACAGCTTTCTTCCTATAACCAAAATGATAGGAATAACTCAATTCAATAGTTTTATTCAGATATTTAAATTAACTTGATTTGACCATTCGCTTTGGAAATACAAATTGAATCACTGATTTGAATCAAACTCATCTGATTATACAGATTGAAATGATAAATGACTTTTTACAATGAGTTGCAAAAAATAGATGCAAAATATGAAGCACCTGGACACAGGAGGATAATAATTAATTAATAATTAGATAGATTCTTTGGGGATCAGTTCAGGAGAAACATGGAATTCACAACTGAGAATGCCAACCCCAACTAGTTGAGTTCTTCAGATCGTAAATAACAATTATGTGGTCCACACATGCTAACCAATCAGGAACAAGTCATATAAAATTTAATAAAGTGTTTTAAACAACTTGAACAAATAAATAAATGTGCTATGTTCTATAAATCACCTAATACTCAACATCATGCCTACTTAATATCCAGCAACTATAGAGGCAGTTTGGTATAGGGCAGGGGTGTCAAACTCAGTTTTATTGAGGGCCACATCAGGGTTGTGTTTGACCTCGGGGGGGCTGGGTAGGCATGGCCAGTATGGACATGGCCAGCTCAATGTCACTTGAGTCAGGGGCACCTGTGGTGGCCTGAGCGCTCTGAGCTCCTTTTTCATTGGCAGAAGCACCGTGGACCAGTCCTTCACTGTTTTCAGGGTGGCCCCTTAGCCCCTTAGAACCTTATGGGTTGGATCTGGCCCACAGGCCTTGAGTTTGACATCCCTGGTATAGAGACTAAGGTACTAGGCCAGAAACCAGGAGACCTTAAGTTCTAGCCCTGCCTTAGGCATGAATCTAGTTGGATTGTCTTTGGCCCAGTCATTGTCTTTCAGCCCTAAGATGGAGGCAAAGACAAACCAATTTGAAATCTTGCAAAAACAACAACAACCACAAAAACCCAGAGGGTTAATCCAAGCTTTCACCAGGAATCAATAGTGACTTAAAGGCAAATACACTCCCTCCTCCCCCACAAATGGACCAAAAAAAATCTAATACTCAGCCTAGGGTATGAAAAACCTGAACATTTTGCACAAGATCATATAGTTCTCAACTTACAACCATTCATTTAGTGACCAAAGTTACAACAGCATTGAAAAAAGTGACTTATGACTGGGTTTTTTTTACATTACAATCCTTTTAACCTCTCCAAAGTCATGTGATCAAAATTCAGACACTTGGCAACTGGTATGTATACATTTCATGACGGTTGCAGTGTCCTGGGGTCATGTGATCACGTCCTGCGACCTTTTGACAAGCAAAGTCAATGGGGAAGCCAGATTCACTTAACAACCGTGTTACTAACTTAACTGCAGTGGTTCACTTAACAATTGTAGCAAGAAAGGGCACAAATGGGGCAAAATTCAATTGTCTTGCTTAGCTGTGGAAATTTTGGGCTCAACTGTGATCATAAGATGAGGACTACCTGTAATGTTGATCTCTTCATGAATGTCAAAAGCTAGACTTTAAAAGAGCTGAGGCATGTGGACCAGCTACAGGTATTCCTCCACTTACAACCACTAATTTAATGACCATGAAGTGACTTATGACTGTTTTCACACTTATGATCATTGAAGCATCCTCACAATCACATGATCAAAATTGGGCTGCTTCGCAACTACAGTAGTTCATATTTATGATATGTCATGCCCCTGTTGGAGACTTACTCTGAGGGAGAGGAGGAACAGCCAACAGGGAGTGGAAGTGTGGCTCTGGAGGTTGTGGAGGAGGCTGGGAAGGGAAGAGGCCAACTGGGCAGTCAGAGGAAGAACCAGGCTTATCCCCTCTTCATCCTAGGACATACAGGGAGGAACGGAGAAGGGAACAATGTGGCTTACAGGAGAGGAAGCGGCCATGATACTCCTCATTGGCTGCAGCTGGGGGGAATAGTATATAGGAGGGGCATTTAAAACACAGCATTGCTAGAAGCAAAGCATGCTTTATTTCTGGCTGAGGTTTATCTTGGTTGGTGTTCTTCAAAAGGACTGTGCCTTGTTATCTTCTTGAAGTTTGTAATTAATTATCCTGGTTTGTCATGAAAATTCCTTCAGTGAGGTTTGTTTTGGTTTTTTATTTCTCCGTTATCTGTTCTTTGAGTTTGGACTGTAATTCTTTCTTTTGGAGACTATTTTGGAAAGAGTTCAATCTCCAACTGCGAACAATTGAACAGTGGGGCCAAGTTGGAGGCATTAAAGGAAATTTATTTACGTTTGGGAATTTATTACGTGTGTGCTGCTTCCCAGATGATCACATGATGGTTGCAGTGTCCCAGGGCCAAGTGATCACCTTTGCAACTTCCTGACATGCAGCCAATGGGGAAAGCAAATTCACTTAACAACCATGTTACCATCTTAAGAATTGCAGGGATTCACTTAACGGTGGCAAGAAAGGTCAGAAAATGGAGCAAAACTTAGCAGCTGTCTTGCTTAGGAATAGAAATGTTGTACTTTTGAATTTGTACACAATTCAAAGCTGTGGTCCTAAATTGAGGACTACCTGCAGTTTATGAGCATGGCCAAATAATCCTTACTTTTATTAAACATTATAATGTAGCCAAGACTACTGGAAGTGGACTGGAAGCCACAGGACACCAGATGTGCAATCAAATACCACAAAAAGTAGTAATCAGCCATCCAATATTCAACAATCTACTTCAAAATTTATTTATTATAATGATAAAGCTGAAATATAAATTAAGAGCGCTACCTAAACAAACGCAAACTCAAAATATGTCATTTGTACATCTAGAAAAACCAATTAACTGCTAAATGTTGTCTTGAAAGTGACTCTCGCTCATCCAACCATCATTGGGATAGTTGCTGCTCAGCCTCAAGGGTGACAATGAATTATGTGTCTCAGAGTTGGCTACACCCAGGCAGTGCTGGACACATTAATGCCCAATAAATCCTTTTGAGGTTTTGGAAGTTTAGCTCGAGACTCATTATTTAATTGGGGTAACTGCCGGAATCCTGACACCTGACCTTTGTCTGCTTACCACAGTATCAGATACAGAAGGGACATATGTTTCTAGAAAGAAAGATCCAGAAACCCAAGTCATGTTGCTGTCTAAACAGAACCTACCAGACATCTTAACCCACATTCTTTCAAGACATGCAAACCACTGTAATCAAAATCCACGTGCTGTTGAAATTCACGGATACCTATAATGTAAGCATTTTTGGATTGAGCAAATGAAAATATTTGCAATCTTTGGTTTATAGAACTTCAAAAATCTCAAGTCAGAGACAATGAAGAAGGGAGTGTGGGGAGCAATTTCTCTTGTTGGAGAGAAAAGAAAAAAAAATGCACATTATTTCAGATCCCCAGAACATGTGTACTTCATGTTCACAGACAGGTTGGTTCAAAGGGATTAAGTCCAAATAGAAGTAGTGATGCTGTAATATTTAGGAAAAAAAACACACAACAAGGAAATACTCAGCCAAATGTTTGCATTACCATTTTCAATGTTGTCTATAAAAATATTTATATCCCTGATTTAAGCCCGATTAGAGATGGTTTGTGTATAACACTTCCGTTCAGCTTTTCTTCCAAGACAATGTAACCAATGCAGCTTTGCTTTTCTCCCAAGGAGGAAGGGAGGACGCTCAAGCCTAGCCTATGAAATAGATTAGACTGCGATACAGATTTGCTACTTCCCAGGCAAATCTACGAATATTCCACATTGAAGTCTGCTGCTAAAAATTATGATGCAAGTCAAGAAAGCTAATTGTGACGGATGGATTGGCTCCAGTTGTGAGCATCTCAGCAGTGAGCAGGGAAATGAGAGATAGTAGTTCATAACAATGCTTTGCATTAATGATTTTGGCAAAAGGTAATAAAAGGTAAAAACACTAGGAATATTTCCTGAAGCAAATCTTTTCAATTACAGTATGGTTTATAAAGCAGAGATATAGCACCCATAAATTTATTCCTGTTCTGTTTTATTTTTTAATGCAAAGAACACTGCTGTAATCATGTTCACCCAAGAAAGCCAGTAATGAAGGAATTTTATTAGATGTTTACAATTTTTCTCTCTTCACTTTAACTTCTTTCTCCTCTACTGAACCTACTAGCTGTTGCATACATAAATACAAAACTGAGGATAGGACACATATATACAAAGGCAGTTTCTGAATTTCATTTTTAAGATAGAACATATGTACCCACAAAACACTTCACAAAAGGCAGCTTGGCACTGCTATTTACAGAAACCTGATACCACAGGCAGGATATACACATAAAGGAAATCTGAAATGAATTCCTAGGCACTAAGGATATACTGTATATTCACTTACATTTCGGGTGTCAAGTATGCATCATCTGGATTATCTGGGGGAAAAAACATTTAAAGGAAATTATTACTGGAACCATACAATATAACAGAGAAGTTAAATTCACCAGTGTAGTGCTTGAATGGATCCATTCTCAGTAGGAGTTCCAGAGGTTTCTGGATTTCCATAAACTTATCTCAAGCTTTAGATAAATTATTGGGTTAATATTGGAGAAGACTATGAGAAAAATATCTAAATAGAAGTTTCATTATATAGCAGGGTTGCTTAACCATAAAATGGATAGCATATACAGGTGAAACTCGAAAAATTAGAATATCGTGCAAAAGTTCATTTATTTCAGTAAAGCAGCTTAAAAGGTGAACCTAATATATGAGATAGATTCATTGCATGCAAAGCAAAATAGTTCAAGCCATGATTTGTCATAATTGTGATGATTATGGCTTACAGCTCATGAAAACCCCAAATTCACAATCTCAGAAAATTAGAATATTGTGAAAAGGTTCAATATTCTAGGATCAAAGTGTCCCACTCTAATCGGCTAATTAAGCCATAATACCTGCAAAGGGTTCCTGAGCCATTAAATGGTCTCTCAGTCTGGTTCAGTAGGAATCACAATCATGGGAAAGACTGCTGACCTGACAGGTTTGCAGAAAACCATCATTGACTCCCTCCATAAGGAGGGAAAGCCTCAAAGGGTAATTGCAAAAGAAGTTGGATGTTCCCAAAGTGCTGTATCAAAGCACATTAATAGAAAGTTATGTGGAAGGGAAAAGTGTGGAAGAAAAAGGTGCACAAGCAGCAGGGATGAATAGGCAGCCTGGAGAATATTGTCAGGAAAGGGCCATTTAAAAATGTTGGGGACTTTCACAAGGAGTGGACTGAGGCTGGAGTCAGTGCATCAAGAACCACCACACACAGACCGATCCTGGATGTTCAAATGTTGTATTCCTCTTGTCAAGCTGCTCCTGAACAACAAACAACATCAGAAGCATCTTACCTGGGCTAAAGAAAAACAGACCTAGTCTGTTGCTCAGTGGTCCAAAGTCCTCTTTTCTGATGAGAGCAACTTTTGCACCTAATTTGGAAACCAAGGACCCAGAGTCTGGAGGAAGAATGGAGAGAGACACACTGCAAGATGCTTGAACTCCAGTATGAATTTTCTACAGTCTGTGTTGATTTGGGGAGCCATGTCATCTGCTGGTCCACTGTGCTTCATTAAGTCCAGGGTCAACACAGCCGTCTATCAGAAAATTTTGGAGCACTTCATGCTTTCTTCCGCAGATGAGCTTTATGGGGATGCTGACTTCATTTTCCAGCAGGACTTAGGACCTGCCCACACTGCCAAAAGCACCAAAACCTGGTTCAATGACTGTGGGATTACTGTGCTTGATTGGCCAGCAAACTTGCCTGACCTGAACCCCATAGAAAATCTATGGGGCATTGCCAAGGGAAAGATGAGAGACATGAGACCAAACAATGCAGAAGAGCTGAAGGCCGCTATTGAACCATCCTGGTCTTCCATAACACCTCAGCAGTGCCACAGGCTGATAGATTCCATGCCACGTCGCATTGAGGCAGTAATTGCTGCAAAAGGGGCCCAAACCAAGCACTGAGTACATATGCATGCTTATACTTTTCAGAGGGCCGATATTGTTCTATATATAATCCTTGTTGTATTGATTGCATGTAATATTCTAATTTTCTGAAATTATGGATTTGAGATTTTCATGAGCTGTAAACCATAATCATCACAATTATGACAAATCACAGCTTGAACTATCTTGCTTTGCATATAATGAGTCTTTCTCATATATTAGTTTCACCTTTTAAGTTGCATTACTGAAATAAATGAACTTTTGCACAATATTCTAATTTTTTGAGTTTCACCTGTAAATTTAATTAAAAATAAATAAAAATATGGAATCAAAGGAGTTAAAGATGATATTTGTCACTCATTGAAACTTGATGCCAATTAGTGTGGAGAGCCACAGTGATGCAGGACACTTTGGACTGAAGAACCTGAGAAACGGGGAAAGCCTTAGAATAGCAGCAAACATCACTTCCTGAATTGTGGGGAAAAAGCAAAATAATCCCAAATTTAAATGAACAAATTCTTTCATTGTTCAACTGCTATCAGGATATGTTGAAATAAGTACCTCACTCTATTACAAATGACTGCAGTTCTGGGCACCTAGTAACCATTTCTTTGCAATGCCACCAAGAAAGTACCCTACCTGGACAATTCTGCTGGAAGGCAGCAAGATCTACCTTGGGAGGTCTTGGTGGCTTCTTTGGAGGAGGACCAAGCTCTTTGATAGAAGGGAGGAGCTTGATTTTTGGAAGCTTGGTATTTTCATCATCAGGACATCTTTCTATACCAAAGAAATGAAACGATCTTAAGATTTGAGGAAAGAGGAGTAGAAAATGTATATTCATGAAACAACAAATTGTTTTCTTCTGGTTCTAGCATCTTTCTTTCCTATTAAAAGTTATGTAGGAAAGGTCCATGCCAATGTATGCCTGCACTGGCCTTTCAGCTACAGAACTGGCAGCATCTGTACCACAGTAACTGACAAGGTATCATTTAATCTCCTCCAAACTTTGGTTCCTAGTATTTTGGAGGGAAAGGGAGAACCATTCATCCAAATGTTACAGTATGAATGGGCAATTTTTTGATCATAGGAACCATACTTCTCCTTTTTTAAAAAAAAATATTTGATGGATGAACCCTGCAATGAATGAGCAGTGATGCAAAAATATAATTGAAGCAAAGCGGGACAGAGGACTTGTGTTTTGGGGGAAGGGTAGCTAAAGTATATCCGCCTTAAAGGACTGGACTCATTCTTTTTTATTCTTGTACTTTTCTGCAAAAAAACAAACAAACTCCCAACCTGACAGAAAATCATACTGCTGTTTAATCTGCAGCAAAGCAAGTAATTTTAAATACATTGGACTTAATGGAAAGACTCATTGACACAGAGAGAGATCCCTAGATTACTTTGGACCAGTCGTTCCTCCTAAGTTCAACCTATATTAAATTGTTATGGCATAAAATTAATGAGCTGCTTCCTAGGCTATGTCACTTCTCTGAGAAAACATGAATGTGGTAAACAAATAAAAATAATGGCCCTGGGGACTGCAAAAAAATTGCAGCCTTGCATATTGTATATTGTGGAATTGAAAAAAGAGAAGGGTTCAACCCACATTATTCAAAGCCTAGAGCAACTTCCCCAAATTTAGGAGTTTTTGATTAAAAAAGGGAGAGAAAAGGCATGGCAGCACAGAAACAACATGGACAAAACAGTTGAAGTTTCTTTTAATTTATGAAACTTATATGGCCATCCATCTATCCAGTGAAACTTTGTGAGACTATATAAATTTGATTAATAAAATCATTACTTCCCACCTATTATTTGCTTAAATGGGACAGCCAAATACATTTCCTACATAAAATAATTTCTATTTTTTTTTCTGTGGATGTTGTCATAAATATAAAACCTAAAGACATTCAATGAAACTATAGGATAGAAAGAGCATTACTTCTTCACACAACCAAAGGATATTGGACAATGTTGTGCTGGAAAAGGCCACCAATAACCAAAAGCCATGATAACTATGGAGTTACTGATTTTAAGAACCCGTATGTCACTTTATAAAATCAACTCAGTTTTTCAATGTTCTTTTGCTGAGGAAAATGAATAAGACGACATGATGATGCATCTCTCCTGCACGCAGAGTGGAAAATAAGCAGCTAATAAGATGGGATGGGTATGATCTTGCAGAACTTGTTTATGTTATTTTATGACAGCCACACTGTATGCTAGACTCATAAAAAATGGGGGTGGGGGGGAGGGAAAGCCTGTGACTCATTACTGAAAAGCCACCTAGAAAGGTCAGTTGGGAGAAAATTCTGGAAGCTACATTCAAAATCTTTTGTATGAATCACCTGCATAACCGTAAGTTGGCAAAATTTGCCGCTTAATGTTAAGTTCCTCTTTGTGAGGCAACTTTTTCTGGGGGAAAAATAAAATCAATTAAATATTAATCTTCTTCAGTGTTGGCTTTGGTCTTGGATTTTGTGAAGATTTGTCAAAGCCAGAGTTTCCCAATGGTAGGTTTCTCCTCCTGAGTTTGCAAAAAATTCATTTCAGCAGCCACAACAGCATGTTCTGAATGTTTGTCTGGGGAGCCACCACATTTTTTTTTCTTTTTGGTTACCATTAGAGCAAGCACATTGCTTAATATTTATGAAGAACATACGCTGATTAGTAACTGGTTGGGTGCCATCACTTCAAGGCTTTAATCAAACAATAGAGAAATAACACAGTCAGAAAACTTAATCTTTATCCATCTCCTACCAGTATTAAGCTATAGTCTGTAAAACAAGGCATGAAGTTCGCTGTTGCATTCGCTGTCCTGTTGTCAGAGCCTATGTATCAAGTTGATTTGATGGTATGTTGGGAAAAGCTTTATGATATTTTGGCTCTCAAATGTCCCCAAAGAGAAGTTCAGCTTATGTTAGTTTAAGAATTGTCATTCTAATAAAGAAGGGGAGTACCTTCTATGATGGCTAGCGTGATATGGACCTTTATCTACCACAACCCTCTATTACCACCCAATTTTGTTAAGAGTGAATATATATTTTATAGCTTCATAATAGAAATAAAGTCAACAGAACCTATTTGTATTGGACTCTTCCACATTTGTAAGCAGTGAGACAAGATGACTTAAAGAACACAAAAGGCAAACTATCTGTACTAACCCTAGCTTACAATCTCAAAAGAAAAAAAACAGTTATCACCAATGGATATATGATACTTCTAAAGGCTAGGAAGCAGCTGTAAACTAACCACTTTTTGCCTGTGCTCTGGCTATAATTGCTCTTAGACTTACTTGAAGCAAATATAACTGGCTTAATATCAGAAAAAAAAAAACCATAATATTTACCATTTGAGACCTTGCTTAGACTGTTCAAATTGTTCGAACTACTTGGAGAAAAACCAGCAACCACTTTATTTAAGCTTGCATGACTTCTTGGAGGAACTGGAGGTGAAGTTGTAGGAACACATTCATTGTGTACAGGGGATGAAGGCTTACACACATCAAGAGCCACCCCTTGCTTAAGTCCAGCTATTTTTGCTTTGTCCTCTGTCGAAATCGCAACATTAACAACTTTGGGGTGGGAAAGAGAAGTTGTCCTGATTGTATGCTGTGGTGGTGTTGCACCACATTTCCAGTCACCTTGTGCTGAAGCACTTTCCCAAATGTGCAGTGTGTTGCGAAAAGAACTGCTTGCTCCTTCAGACCCTTGAGGTCTTGGATGTGGTTTCTGTAATTCTTCCCGCAATGAAGGTGGCTTGCAAATGGCCCCAGAGAGGTTGGGGTCCTTCCTATCTTTGAGCTTGACCTTTGGGAATATCATAGGCTTGACTTGCCTGAGTTCCAGTTTCTGTGACGTGTAACTGAATTGCTTGGTTTGCTGTTCAGGATCTGGAACCTGCCTTTGGTTCAAGGGTTTTGGCGTGGGATGAGACACAGACGAGCCGCCGGTATTTTGCCGTGGACTGAATTTGGTAGTAGGCTTCTTTGCAGACTCCAGGAGCATATTGGAAAAATTGGAATCATTTTGAAACATTGCTCGGAGACTGCCAAAGTCTCTGGGCTTTTCCTAAAAAAGAGAAAAGGTAATTGTCAGTTGCAGAAGTCCCAGTGAATTACTGCCTGGTGAAAATGTAACTCTGTCACTCAGGCTGGAACTAAATTAAAATCTTTCCAGGCCTCCTCCGAATATCCATTGTATAACAGTAATAGTTTAATCATTAGCATATTGGAGCTAATACTAATATAAATAACAAAAGCTGAATAGAAGCACAACAAGGGAAGACTGAAATCCTTGTAGTGAGGAAATTATGTCCAATTACCTACTATTAGTAAGAAGAGATTTTTCACTGGATTACTTCAGAAGTAGTTAATCTGGTAACCTTCAGAACTCCTGGACTGTATTTCCTACTTTCCATTAGCCATTTTCACTAGAGTTAATGTGAGTTCGAGTCCAAAACTTAATCTGGAAAGTTCCTGATAATCTGCCCATGGAGAACTCTAAATCAAATCTATCTTAATGACAACTATTCTTGCTTTTCTCTCTAATTCTTGCCATTAATAGGCTGGAAACTATACAAAATGTAATGTTGTTTGGTGGGAGTGAAAATGAGATGGAAGGGGGAAAACCACTTAAAATAACAAAGCCCTTTTTGCAATAATAACTTTTCTCCCCAGAAATCAACCCAGAAATCAGCAAATAATGACTCAGAGCCTCACTGTAACTATTTATTTCTTCCTGTTTTAAAAAGGTCCTCCAGATATGTTAGAACCACCTTCCCCAGAACAGACAACAAATTCTGGGAATTATGGACAACAAATTCTGGGAATTACACACTTTGCAAATTTGGAGGCTGCCACAAAGAGGAAGAGGGTGGTACCATCCATCTGACGAACTGAATGGACTCGCTTAGTTTGAGGAACATGTATGTTAACTGGATTTATCCTAAAATAGATCAGAGATTAGAAAAGAGATTAGAAAATCTGGAGAAACAGACAACCCTAGACAGAAGTTCCATTATGCTGAAAAAGAGGCCTGCTGACGGCCTTAATGAGAAAGCAACACAATTGAGCCTTGTCCTGGGCTGTTATTGAATTTTATATAATTGCATCCAACTTATTAAATACCAAATGGTCTCCTCTGAATAACCTCTCATAGTCAACGCCAGTGTTTCCACATTAAACAGTGTGATGTAAAGCATCCAAGGGATACTTCAGTTGTTCTGATTGTACTAGAGCAGCCAGCTGCACGATGCAACCAGCCATGCCAAAGGCTCTAGTTGAAACTGGAATCTATCTGCAATTAACACTGCCATACAAGAAAGACAAATGAAACCCACTGATCTTCATCTAAAACACCACGCAGAGTTATGGCTATAACCAATGGCAGCGAAGATTAAATAAACAGCATTGTGTCTGCAGCATGGGCACAATATCTGCATGCTTTTTTAAAGAACAAAAACAGCCCAAGCACTCAGGACTGTTTACGGTTCTTTACTGAAAACCAGGTGCTCCTCTATTTCTGAATTTCTCTTAGATGGTACTCAGAGATGGCCCAATGAAAACAGAAGCCTTTGCCAGGTCACAACACTGCAACAAGGCATCCCAGAAGGATTATATTCCTGAGAAGAATTATGGTATTATGAGTTAAAACACAGCTGAAACAACAGAGCTGGATGCCTCTGCTTCTAAAGAGCACCACAGGTGCCACGGCTCATCCATGAAGCACAGCACAGCACAGCATGCTGGAATTTGAATGTAGCTCTGACAAAACCAAGGATTCTGCGGTGGCACAATACACACACAACAGATCATTCACTATACTCCCCTCAGAACCGGGAGAATTTACCAATCCTTTTTTCCTTACAACCTACTCTGATCCTTTTTAAGAAATCGGATTGGTTTCCCACCTTCATTATTCTACAAATAACTCAAAGTAGCAAACATCCAAACACAACATCCAACTCCTATTTTTCCCACAACTACAATGCCGTGTGGTGTGCTGGGGTGAGAGAGGGGGACCGGCCCAAAGCTGCCCAACTGGCTTTCAGGACTATGATGGGATTTGATCTCACGATCTCCTGCTTTTTAGCCTGGTACCTTAACCACTTGTTATGGCATCTTGTTAAACCTTAATTTTTAAGGCAAGGTATCCTAATGCAAGATTCGGGGGGCGGGGGGGGGGGTCCCTTCTTTCTTACTCCAAATCAAGTTTAATAAAGCCTAAGAATACTTCACTTATTACCTTTCTAACTAAGAGAGAAAAAGAGAGCAATTCACCATGGAGGAAAAAGAGAGAGAGGATCTCTATTACTAATTAGAAATCTTTTCCATATGCAAACATCTCTGAAATAATTTTTCTCAAGTTCAATGGTAATGTAACACTTCACTCAACAAACCAGGAATTCCTCTGGAATATAATGCACCTAGAATTTTCTAAGATATCTCAGTCCAATAGACGACCAATGTTTATGACTAACACGAAGCTATAAACTGTATTTTACAAGGCACTATAGTTGTGTCATATCAGATAAACCACATTACGCATCAGTACAACCATACAACATGTAACAGTACTATGTGTTGGTACAAATATAATACTGAAATCTAGAGATACATGTTTCACTTATGTTCTACAACAGGGCTGTTGAATTCCCAGCCCACGGGCCAGATGCGTCATGGGCTGGCCACGCCCATGCCCAGTTTAGCAGAGAGGAAAAAAGTCCTGATACATCACGTGACACCACCAGGATTATGTGAGTTTGACACCTCTGTTCTACAGTGACAATAAATTCAATAGTTGAAGTTGTTTACTCTCTAACAAGACTAGAAGTTTTTTATTGCCTAAAAAAGCAATAAAAAGCAATTTTTATTATTAAAATCCAAGCAATACAAACTATTTTTCTCTCCAACTTTTAATTAAGCTTACAATAAGTCTATGAACATTAGGGTAGGATGGCTGGGAATTATGATGTAATAGTAACAGAGTGGGAAGGTCTTCTAGCCCAACTCCTTGCTTAAGCAAGCGGCCCTATACCCATGATGGTGAACCTATGGCATGTATGCCAGAGGTGGCACGCAGAGCCCTCTCCCTGGGCACATGAGCCGTCGCCCCAGCTCAGCTCCATCGCACATGCATGTGTACCTCCCACCAGCCAGCTGCACTTCAGGTCTCTGCCATTCATACATGGGGGCGGGGCATGCAGTAGTTGTGCATGCATGCATGGGGCGCATATGCAGGGTTCATGCGCACATGAGCAGGATACATGCACAGGATTGCCTGTGCATGCACATGGTGCAGGGGCCACCCTTGCATGTGTGGGGGCACAGGGCATGCACATTTTGGGCACTTGGTGCCAAAAACATTAGACATCATTGCCCTATACCATTTTGGACAAATGACTATCCAATCTCTTCTTAAAAACTTCCAGTGAATGGAGCACCTACAACCTCTGGAATAAAAGCTTTTTTGTTTTGCTGATTATTTGTTCTCACTGTCAGAAAATTTCTCCTTAGTTGGGTATTTCTTTGGTAAGTTTCCAACTGTTATTTCTTGTCCTGCCCTTAGGTGCTTTGGAGCCTAGATTGTTCCTATCTTCTCTGTAGCAGCCCTTCAGTGCAGAAAATCAGATCTTTTTCTCCAAGGAATTTTCTAAGTGATTTTGGGGGAGAGTAATGATCAAGAGTACAAGAACAGAACAATACCCATCACGCACCAAGGTTTGTAAGGGTATGTAATTGCACTTTAAAAATCTAGAACTAATTTTGTAAATCGAGACATTAACATTTGAACTACTATAAGTCCATGTATTTGACATACACTAAATAATAATAAAATTATAAATCAAAAGGGGAACATGCTGGGAGAGTCATTTATTTCCGGGTAGTAAATACTCTGATCTTAGGAGGCACATGTTGCCACATGCACAGGGACTACAACTAGACTGACACACACTGCACCCAGGAAGTATCTACTCATGCAGGTTTTCCCCGCTAATCCATCAACAGGTACTCAAAATATCCAAAAAAAAATTAAAGGAAAAGAAGCCATTTTTCAGGTAGCTTCACAATTAAAAAATAAATGGAACAATTTCCAGTGCAGACCATCTGAGGGAGTCTCAAGATTGCTACTGTACAATCTGGGCTCTCAGAACCAGTTCCATTCTTCAGTGGATCTTACTTTGTGTCCAAGTTTTAAGCTACAACATAATCATAATTTTTAAAAATGGCACTACCTTGTCCGGTGACTATTAGGCAGAATTAAAACGGAACTGGCCACAAAAACATAACATTAGGAAAGGTAGCAGTAAAAGAGACAGTCAGCTGTAACTCTTTGCTAAATTCCGGTTTTAGCCTTTTTTTTTTTTCAGCCAGCTTTAGCCTTAGGTAAAAGATTGCAGGTTTAAGTAGATTGTAAAGAGAAGCCAGCTAGAAGAAATGGGAAGCGTCTCCCGCCCTCCCCACCCCCCCGCTTCTGTTGTACTAGGAATGTTTATAGAGAAGCCACGTGTGCAGGTGGATAAAGTTCACTTCAAAAACGTGAACCCGCTGAACAAACTCCAGCACCAAAGGCAAGCAAGGGTTCCCCCGTCCAGACGCTGTACCTTGTTCTCTAGACAATAATGCTTTACTCTAGAAACCAAACCAAAGTATAGCTACCCTTCTCCTCCTCTAAAGCAGTCCGGGCCCGATCTACTCCTGCTCCCCCCCACCCCAAAATACCCCAAGCCCGCTTTCCTATTGCGCATGGCACCGATCCTTCACCAGCTGCAAGCCGCGTTAAGAGTGAAGAGAAGCCGTATTTTGTCCCCAGCCCCACAAACCCAACCTCTGGCCGGAAGAGTTACCATGTCCATATTTTCCCTCTTTTTGTCGTACTCCTTCCCAAGCCGGCTCCACTCCTCCCAAGCAGCCCATGCCTTGGCTCAAAAGGAAAGGAGTCTGGCCAACTTCCTCTATCCCGAACTGCCGAGGGAAAGCCGGCAGCGAGAGGCAGAGGAGGAGCGTCGATGCAGAAGAATCGCACCTGAGCTCAGGAACCGGCTCCTCCCCGTCTAAAGAATGGGGCCGTCTGGCGAGCCAGATTAGGTTCACCTGTCAAAAGAGCTAGCTCTGAGATGGAGCGTTCTCCCTCTCGCTCCCTGCCTCCTCCTCCTCCTCCCTCCCTCCCTTCTTCCTCACTCTTTCTCTCCCTCCTTCCTGTCCAAAGCCTGTAGAGCCAGATTAGGTTCACCTGTCAAAGAAGCTGAACAGAATAGAGTAAGAGAGTTGGAAGGGACCTTGGAGGTCTTCTAGTCCAACCCCCTGCTTAGGCAGGAAACCCCACACCACTTCAGACAAATGGTTATCCAACATCTTTTTTAAAAACTTCCAGTGTTGGAGCCTTCACAACTTCTGGAAGCCTTCACAACTTCTGATTAATTGTTCTAACTGTCAGGAAATGTCTCCTTAGTTCTAAGTTGCTTCTCTCCTTGATTAGGTTCCATCCATTGCTTCTTGTCCTGCCCTCAGGTGCTTTGGAGAATAGCTTGACTCCCTCTTCTTTGTGGCAGCCCCTGAGATATTGGAACACTGCCATCATGTCTCCCCTGGTCCTTCTTTTCATTAGACTAGGCATATCCATATTCCTGCAACTTTTCTTCAAATGTTTTTAGCCTCCTGTCCCCTAATCATTTTTGTTGTTGTTCTCTGCACTCTTTCTAGAGTCTCAACATCTTTTTTACATCATGGGGACCAAAACTGAATGCAGTCTTCCAAGTGTGACCCTACCAAGGCATTATAAAGTGGTATTAACACTTCACGTTTGTTAGATGTTTTAAGAGTCACTACTAGGAATTTGTCACATGACATTGGTGGGCAGGACTCCTTCTCATTTTCTCATTCCCTTCATTCACGAGTCTGTGTTAATTTCAGAACCTCCTGAAGCTACAAGTGTATTGAGGAAAATCTAAAGCATTTTGGAATGGACATGGAAAGATGCCAATGAAAAGCAATGTAATTTTTTTTATAAATGCCATTATTCATAATACCGAAAGTTAAATAGAGCTTGAAATATACATTAAACCAGTTTAAATAGGGGGAATGTATGACTCACTCTATTTTAATGACACTTCCTATTTCTTAAAATGAATTGAAGGTTAAAGTCTACCTACTCCAGTGGTTAAAAATTCAAGGTGGGTTATAAAAGTAATTTTAAGAAATGATAGCATAACATTTAAATAATGATCATTAAGTAATGATTCTGTGTAGCATGTGTTGTCAATACCATGTATTCTAAGGCAACAGTTGACATAGTAATACTAAATGTCACACAATTCATCTCCAAAAAATACCAAAAAGTTTGAAATTATTTGTTAGAATCTTAGTTTTTAAATATGAATAATGTTAGGTTACGAAGACAATTGTTTTGTGATTCAGCCAGATGAGGGCAACAGATATCATACAAGTGGCGACACAAATCAAGTGAATTATGAACAGGCAGGTGGCCAGAGGTGGTATTCAGCAGGTTATGACTTGTTCGGGAGAACTGGTAGCGGAAATTTTGAATAGTTCAGAGAACTGGTAAATACCACCTCTGACTGGAGATTTTACAGTATCCTTTCCCTGTCACGTCCACCAAGCCACGCCCACAGAACTGGTAGTAAAAAATTTTGAATCCCACCACTGGAGGTTACCAATGCTAATGTTTATATATGTAGTTTTCAAGTGGTTTTGTATGTTAGATTATCTGAGCTACCTCAGAAATATGATTAAACTTCTACCTAAGGTAACTGGTAAAATGATGCAGTAGTCATTTTCTCTTTTTAAAAAAAGCACACGGGGAACTAAAAAGCTTGGAAAAGAAAAATAGCATTTAAAAATAAATCTATCAGGCTTCAAACCAGGAAACCTCTATTTTCAAGGCAAGAATTAGAGCCATTGCCCTAATAGAGTACTCTTGATTAAAAAAAACATCAATTAGTTGAAAAGAAGCCACTCCCTCCTCAAAGCAGCTAATGAACTGATATGATTGAATTGCAATAAAATGAAGTGTGCTATTGGTAATAAATGGGAACTTTGAGCTAATAACTTGAACAGCATACTTCAGAGGTAGAGCTGAAAAATTCACCCTAAGCTTATTCCAGCAGTGAGTGGAGGCAACATAGTCTGCTTTTTCCCTTCAAAAAAATTGTTGCTTAGCTATTCTGATAATACAACCGGGTAATAAGGATAAACCTTTTTTTTTTTTTGCTTCCTTCCTCTCTGACTTGTGCTGTTCAGATATTTATCTGACTTATCCTCTCCCTATAAAGAAAGAGAGAATACTTACGTCCCAAATAAAACTTTATCTCTGTTTTTCTTTCATGCAAGTACCAGCCTCAAAAATACTGTTTTTATAGAAGGTGCACTCCTATCTTCAGAGTTTTGTTCCATGCATTCTTTTCATTGTATAAAGCTATCGGTTATCCAACCTGGTACAGCTGTGATATAACTGTAAACTACTTTCCTTTTATCCTTTCCCTGACCTTTGATGGAAGGTTGTCTTTTTAAAGGCCATTCTTTTCCTCTGTACCAGCAAGAAACCTATTCTACCACAGTTGTCATGTAAACATATTTTCTGTTAGAAATCTTCCCAAACAATAGTATCTCCCAAAGCAAATACATGGAAATATGTAAAAGTAAACATTTTCTCCGAGCAAAAGAAATTTGTTTTTATTACTTGATAACAGATACGATCATCTATTTCATAGATTAATAGTGTGAGTGAAATGTAATCTGAATAAGGAAGGGAGAACCAATTTCAGGTTTTCAGTAGGCTAGGAGCTCATTTGAAGGCACAATCTAACATAAGTCAAAGTTTTCATAAAGGTAAATGTTTATAATTATGAATTAGGTCCACGTATCACATCTAATTGGCTTAGTTACAGATTTAAGTAACTGCATGAAAGCAATGTATTAAGCTTGGATAGGTTTAACACTGGTTAGAATATTAACTTTTAAAACCATCCCTTTAACCCACCTACCCCCAGTCAATGGAAAAAATGTCTTTTCTGGAAATCAGGCACTGGTGCCAAAATGGTTGGGGATCACTGCTGCACAACATTCTTCAAAGAATGATCCATAGGAGCTAAGCAGTGTGAACCACATCATTTTGACATGCTGCTCACCAATTCCACCTTGTCAGGTTACATGTGGATAACTGTCATGTCTCTTTTTTAAATCAATCTTTAGAGGAAATGAAGTAGAGCAACCTTTGGTCTAGAGCAGGGGTGTCATGGCAGCTTCACGTGACGTAGCGTGACTTTTTCTCCCTTCACTAAGCCGGGTGTGGACATGGCCAGCACATGAAGCATCCGGCTTGTGGGCTGTGAGTTTGACAGCCCTGGTCTAGAGCAAAATTCATACTGAAGATGATGAGTTAATATCAGTTGCCACCCGTTTTCTCCATGGGTTTTAGGTATTTGCAAGTGTAAGATACCTGGTTTAGTAATTAATCAAGACAAATAGTTTGCAGGATTGCAACCCTGTGCTTCAAAGTGATACCACTAATTTAAGGTTAACATTGAGTTGCTTCTGACTTTTTCTAGTGACTTCTCATGCCTCAAGTGGGAAGCTCTGCTCGGTTCTCATGCTCTCAGAGATTTTTCTATACTTCGCTGTTCTTATGACTGGAACATGATGATCTGAATCACTGACTTTTTGACTATTACTTCTGCTTTTGTGTTGTGGTATCTATTGTCCTTTCTCTCCAGTTCTGTGCCTATGAGCAATTTATGACCAATGTAGATAATTCTCACCGCCCCTTAGGAGCGTATTCAGAGTACAGTGTAGATTTCCCAGCTTGTGCTAAAACTATCTATCCTGGAAATACTTCAGCCAGGAATGGGGAAGACAGATAAGCCTTCTTCTACTGAACTGGCTTGAAATGATTTCAGGCCATAGTTTGTTCGGTTAAATCAGAGAAATTCTTTAGCAAAATAAAATCAAATTGCTTTCATGATACAAATCACTTCATTAAAGTGAATTTTAGCTGTTTTCCATACTCTAATATTTTCCATGTGCTAATTCTAGCTAGAGCAGCATCTAATTCACACAATTTTTTGATAGACTGCCATTTACCATCTACCATTTTAACCTTTTCTTCCCCAGGCTATGTATCACAGACCTTTCACATGGATTCAAACTGTTTCCCATATTAGTTTCTATTGAAAATATGTGCTAGATACATATTGTGTTTTCTCTAGAGCACCCAGAGACAAAAGCCTACAAGATCAGTTGGATAGAAAGAGAATGATTGACTCAAAATTACCCAGTAAACTTCTACAATTGAAAGGATCCAGAACTGGGACTTTCCTTGTCACATCTGCTGCAAGCCGGAAGTTGTGGGATATCTTTCAGTTTTTTTAGTATCATCTTAAAATGGCTTCAGTACTTCAGATGGTGCTGCAGCATCAGCCCTGTAACTTGAACTTCTTGCTTACGTTAATGCACTCTAAAAAAGCCCCCTAGCTCTACAAAACAAATAAAGTTGGTTTTGGAAGACAATGAATTCTTCTCCTTTGTCAAGGCATAGCTGGTCAATTACTCTATATATCTCACAGGCAACATGACCATTAATTTGTGAATTATAAAGAATGGATAATACACGTAAGTGCTATTCTTAGGCACAGAGGGGAAGCTAAAGGAATTGTGTGAAAGGTGCCACATTTTTTTCTACAGTGATGCCCAAATTTTAAAGAGTTCCCCATCATTGCCTGATTACCGTTATGTGAAGAGTCATGCTCCATCTCTGAACATTAAGCCTATTTTTCTCACAGGAAGCAACATTTGTTTTCTCAGGTCAAAGCTTGTATCTACAGAGAAAATGCCAAGGAGACAAAGCACTGGAGCTTGTTACAGGCACAGCGTTATCTGACAACTGCCTCTTAACCTGAATAAACTGAGGAATTTATTTTGTCTCTTGCTACCCTTATGACTCCAGCAAAACACTTTTTAATTCTCCTCAAGATTTTGCTT